GCGGTAGTCACTTCGAAGTTACCATCTTCATTATCGCCGCCGCGGTATATCTCGGATTTCCTACCGTTTTCTATCTCCCGACGTCGCCTTCGCTCTCGCGGAATCCCCGCCGGCAGGTGGGGTCTCTCCCGCTGTCGATATCCATCGATGTCCCCCCGGACCTGTCCGTATCGTCGAGTGATCCCTCGGAGCGCCGTCACTACTATTGCAGCTCTGTGGCCTAGCGGGGAAGAGAGGTAATCGAAACGCAACTCTCTCTCTCTCTCTCACTGTGGTGATAACGCCCGGACGTAAGCAAGGCCATTCGACGTTCATGACACGTAGAGCCATGCAAGGGCATCGGCTCGTCCCAACCCATCCGCCAACTTAACCCGCCGGAGTGATATCTTCTCAGTGAAATTGGCCACAGATGTACGCGCACTGTTTGGTATATCCCTCCTTATTTGAATAATAATACCCGGAACCTAACTAGACTTTGATAATCGTTCATTGAAACTGCTTAGTTGGCCGAAGGATGATCATCGAGTCCTAAGAATCATACAAATAGAACAATTTAGAAGTAAGGTTTTAATGGATCAACTCCCTTCAGATTCTTGGGATTTATTATCAGTTCTCGTGTAAATCCGTACATCTCATCCTACTTATTGAACGTTCCCCCATACAGCTACATGGTAAATTCAGAATCTAATTTTTTTTTTCATTAAATTAATTTAAAATGTTGTGATATGTTGAAATATCTCAGTAATTTCGGGCTGAGAATAGGCCCATAATAGAGGAGTTTGGCCTCATCTATTGGAACTGACTTTTAGCTTATTGAAGTGGCAAATGTGTAACTCTCTTATGAGTAGAAAGAAGGTTAAAAACTAGTTGTGAATTCTGTTTTTTAATAACTGAAAAGTCATTAGTTTTTAGGGTTCTTTCTCCTTGCCAGCTCCCTCTTTGAACAGCAACCTCTTGATAACATGCTATTTATGTATGTAATTATATAATTATTAATGTAAATTAAGGCATTAATCATTACAAATATATGCATGTTATCATATTTTAAGTATATTTCTATCATTTTGTGTAAATTCATGTTATGATCTTAAAATACACCAAATTATGGATTATTATAAATAATTACACATTAAAATCTTTAATCCTAATTATATTTATGATTATAATCATGTTTTAAGAGTGAAAATATGAGAGAAAAGATATTTATTAACATTTATGTATTTATATAAATTTATTTTATATAATACATAAATGTATAAAATTAATTAAAATTTATTCTCTTCTTATTTTAATAATTTGACCTTTTATAATGATAGATTATTCAATTTTGAATCCAAAAAAACAAATTTGAATTATTTTGGAGTCGTATTTTGAAAGTTATGATTTTTACAATTTTATAGAATTTTCTAGAATTTTTCTGAAATTATTTATATTTATTTTCGATTTTTAAATGTTTTAAATTAATTAAAAAATCGCAAAAAAGGGTTATATGTCGCGCGTGTACACGTGGATGCGACGTGGTACTCGGGGCCACGTGGCTATGCCACGTGGACAGCACCCGAGCACCTGCGTGGCGCTGATGTGACACGTGGCGTATTTATATTTACTATATATATTTATTTAATAAAGTATATAGGTCTTCCGATTATCGGAAGACAAAGTATTAATCCCTCTTAATCTTCATATCTTATATACCCGAATATACTCCTTTGTTTTTCCCGTGTGGGACTAAAGTCCTTTAGTTTTCTTATGTGCAGGACGCGTGGCGTGATCTCGTGCGTCTGATCGACATCGCGACAAATAGCGTGCGTAGATCACGTGGAATCGAGGTCCACGCGATCAGAGATCAACCACGTGCCTAAATACTCACTTAAGTGAATAAATCGCGACCGTCTGATCGAGAGTTATAACGGTCCAGATTATTCACATCAGATGGACATCCAATCACATCTTAACCGCACGATCACGATCGAACGATCGTCGAATCGTCGCGACGATTCGTGAAGAGGCGTCTCATCGCGATCGTCCATCGCGATCAACTCCATCAGATCGGACGGCCACGATCATTTCTGAATTTTATAAAATCCGTTCTTCGCGACGGAAGAACGGCCCGCGATCAATCTTCAAATTCTCTTTGTTTAGAGCTCCAATTCGCGCACATCTTTTGAATTGTGTTCGCAACTCATTTCCGCTTCTGTTGGATGTTTAATTTAAATGTTTGATTGAAAGAATTGAAAGAATTGGAAGAAATAAAGTCTTGAACTCCTCTTTCGTCTTCGAAAATTCGGAATGAAAAGCCTTGCATCCGGCGATTAATTGGATCATTTCGAAGGCTAATTTGGGTTATATTTTTTGTTTTCATCTTAATCTTTCATCATTTAGTGTTAATTTTACTTTAAGTATTGTAGATTAAGTTTAATTTAGTTTTAATTTCTGTTTTTAATCATTTCGCGATACGAAAATTTCTCTTAACTTCAAACTTCGATTACTCTTCGAATTCTCATCCAAATCACTTGATGTTTGATTCCGTGGATTCAAAATTGAGTTATCTTTCTTAATATACTAAATTGCTCAATTTCTAACCTAATTTCATCGTCCGATTTGACCGAATTTCAAAGATATCTCTCAAATTTCCCTAATTCTTCGTAGATTTGACCCTTAATTACCATTATACTAATTAATTACTTTGATTAATCATAAATTGGTAAGATTTGGACTTTGTTTTGACACTGAATCGTGTGCATTCAACGACCATATGATTTAGTCTCGTCACCTCTCTCCCATTTCTTTTTCCTATTTGCTATTTTGCTTGTTTGTTCTTAGGAGTTGACATCTTAGTGGAAGGGGGCAGTGAACTGAACTTTGTAGCATAGGCTACTGTTGGAACAAAGAAAATGAGTTAGGAGAAAATATGGTTACTATTCTTGGATGGCAAAGACCAATATATTACAGGTTATATCTGAGGTAAATAATATAGTAAATAGAAGTCTAATTGTAAGAAGAAGATAGCTATAAATGAGCCATCTTCTTGTTGTCTGGAAAGCATATATAATCCACCATTTTATTAGATAATTTTGGGGCATATATCAACGTCATTCAGAGGATCTTGCAAGTCTTATTAAATAAATCCATGAGACAAGCTGCCATTATTTTGAGTATATACTATTTTCCTATATCCTCTGGTTGATTTCAGTCATATACTATTTGAGATATTATTTTCAATTCCTTGCAATATCTTGTCTGATTTTTTTATAACAAAAAATACGGCCCACTACTAGGGGTTTCATTCAAGTGGCTTCTATCAATAGATTACGCCACAGATCTTATCGTTTCCCGAAGAAGTAGAGTCAACGTAAAAAAGAAACCTAGATGGAATGCAACAAGATGATGAACGAGGAGAAAAAGAGAGAAACCATGGCCATGGAGTTACAAATGGACACACATACACTTAGATAGATAGATAGAGAGAGAGAGAGAGAGAGAGAGAGAGAGAGAGAGAGAGAGAGAGAGAGAGAGAGAGAGAGAGAGAGAGAGCGAGAGAGAGAGAGAGAGAGAGAGCGAGAGAGAGAGAGAGAGAGGCTAATATGGTTGGGGGAGTGATTTTGACGAGATTAGTTGTGTCATTTGGATTATTTGAACTAATGGAAAATAATGAAAGTTAGATATCGGACTGGAATTGTCTCGAGTTTTAATTTTCAAAAATAGGGAGACTTGTATCTCATGATAAGCATCAACCAGGGAGGTGAACTTATTTGACCCCTGAAATATTACAGAGATTTTTAGGCAGTCGTAAACTCCGCTTGAATGTTTCAGATACTCTCTATATTAATGGGCCGGGCTCTGCGACTGCGACTGCGAGATGTGGGTTTCTTGTTAATGCCGCACCTCGTGAATGGCACGGCCTAAATGGGTCGCTTTTGGGCCACGGGGACTATAAAAAATTTTGAGTGGCTGGCTGGCTGGCTTGGAGAAAGACGACGATTAATGGGCTTCTCCAAGGGCCTCTTGTTTAACGACGTCGCCTTAACTGGACCGATTTATTGGGTCCAAAACGGGCCAGTTCCACGGGATGAGTGAATTGGCTAGTGGGATTGCTGCGGTGCTTATGCACAACGGACCATATTTACCTGGTTCCTATCGTTTTGGATATTGGGCAGATGAGAAACCTAATCAAGGGCCGGACCGTAGACAGGGACCCATCAATAATTACCCTACTCGTGGCCCAATAGGAACCCGGTTCATGAGAACCAGACGATATGAGAAATGGGCTACGTCTCCTGACGTTGATGGGCCGGTATAACAATCGAAAGAAGACAAGAGGAATGGATTGTTGCACCTCTGTCACGGCTCTCTAGTCAACGACGTTCTTGTCAATGGACAAATAGAGCCCTTTAGTGGGCCAGCGGAGTTCGTCGGCAGGACAACTACTCGCAGAAAGCTTCATGTGCGTAAATCATTTATCTAACACATTTTAAACATCTTCTTTGGATCGTAGTAGTTCGTGGTACAAGTCCCCTGGTCGACTTGGTCGCGGCTCAACGATGATCCCAACTTGGAGGAGTTGACTCCTAAAAGGACAAATGTGTGATCCTGAAGCGCGCGCGTGTTCCTTGGACAAACTTGTCCTGTTCGCATTAGCGGTCGTCCAATCTGTGGGCTACCTCGGCCGGGGCGGATTAGCATGCCACCACGGAAGGGCGTACGACGGAGACGGTGGGAAGTCAACGCCGTGATTAATTTCATCTCCCGTTTCCAAGCAGGCCATCCTCAAGCTCAGAAGCGATTGCTAGAACCGGGCAACTCCGCTGACGAGCTCATCGTATCCTGTCTGATAGCGCGGTAACTTCAAACCAGTTTCTCGGTTAACACGATTCAAGTTCCAAACAAGGACGCTTTATAGTCTGTAATCACCCTACTCTCAAACGTGATGACCGCCATTATTCGCTATAACATTGGGAAGAAGCAAACCACCACCGAGAGGGAAGAGACGATGCCATTGGTTAATACTCGGTGAGGATCTCCTTGAGCTGTGGCAGGCCGCCACCGCCGCCGCTGGCCACGCAGCAAAAATCCCTCTCGCAGCCGCTCGAGTAGAGGCTGCCGCAGAAGCTCTGGCAGCAGACTGGTACCGGTCGCTTCCGGAAATCGCGGCAGGAGTGATGGGAGTGGCACGTCGCCGTGCACACGACGGCCTCGTCGCACGCGGCGTGGAGGCTCCGCCGTTCCCCTTTGTCCATCTTGAAGTGCACCGCCAGCCTCTCTTCGCCGGAACAGTGGCTGTGGTGCAGGTCTCGGGCCGCCGTCGGTGCGCAGCAGTTCTCGCGGCCGCCTTCCACGGTGCTCATAGAGATGGAGTGGCTTTCTTTTCTCCCGTCGTCCTCTGAGACCTGGCAGTCTGGGTGGCCATGGTGATGATGCCCATCATGGTGATTGTGGTGGTGACGGTGGTCGTCAAGGAATCCGTGGCTGTGGGTATGGCAGGGCTCATCTCGGCGGTGATGATGGGCACCGTCGCCGGAGCACTTCCCAACGGGCGTTGCTGCCTCTGTCGCAAGGCCGTGGACACCAGAACAGCAGTTCCCGCCGGCGTGGTGACGATGGACGCCATTCCTGCTGGAGTGCATCTTGTGTGAGGAGCCGCAGCATCTGCTTTTCTTTCTCCGGCTGGAGTTCAGCAGGAGCATGCTGTTGAAGATGACCAGGAGGCAGGTGCCGACGTCGGAGAGGATGGCGGCCCACAAGAGCGGGCGTCCCGCGAAGGCCAGTGCGATGATGGCGGCCTTGGTGACCACCGACATGACGATGTTTTGGACGACCTTGCGATGGGTCCTCCTCCCCAGGCGGATGGCGTCGAGGATCTTACGGACATCGTTGGACATGAGGGTGACGTGGCTCGTCTCCATGGCGATGGCGGACCCCGATATCCCCATGGAGATGCCCACGTCCGCTGCAGCCAGCGCGGGGGCGTCGTTCATTCCGTCTCCGACCATCACAATGGAGCCCTCTTTGACCTTGAGGTTCCTCACTATGTTGACCTTGTCCTCCGGCAGGAGCTCAGCGTGGACCATGTCCAGGGCGTCACCCATCTGCGGGCGGATAGCAGGGCGGGACGTTATAGTAGTAGAAAAAAGACATTTTTTATATAATGTATATGAATATCTTACCTGGTTTTGTGCGGACATGGCGGCGGCCTTGCTGTCGCCGGTGAGCATCGCCGTCTTAATGCCCATGCGCTTCAACCCTATAACCGCCTCCGCGGCGCCAGTCCGGCAAGTGTCAGAGAGGCTGAATACTCCGATGGGTACCCCACCGGAGAAGACGTACCCGACCGTCGTCCCTTTCATCTCCATCTCGACCTCCTCCGGAACTGCAGATCCAAAAATCCGTTAGGTTGGGGATTAAAAAAAACAGAATACGAATAGGCCATTTTTCAAAAGGTAGAGATCGTCTTCTTCAACCTGCTGCGCACCCCGCCCGAGCAGCGATTCTCTGGTTGCCAACGTATATCTGATGCCCGTCGATCTCCCCGTAGATCCCTTCTCCGGGATACATGTGGAACTCCTTCACATTCTCCGGTCTCGGCTCGATGGAACTGAAGCGCGCGTAATCGGCGAGCGCAGCTGCCATCGGGTGGCTCGACTTACTCTCGACGCTTGACACCCTGCAAGATCAAACAGGTGAGAAGAACCACTCTCTGGGGAAGCCGATAATTGCACCGGCGACCTCTTTGTTCACTCACCAATAAAGAAGAGAGTGCATGCCGGGGGATTTCCCGATCGCCCGAAACTCCACCACGGTGAACTGTCCTCTGGTGAGGGTTCCCGTCTTGTCGAAGGCGACGACCCTGGTGTTCGCCAGGGCCTCGAGAATGTCCCCTCCCTTGACCAGCACCCCGCTCTTAGCTGCCTTCGTGAGGGCGCAGAAGGTGGCCACGGGGGTGGAGAGCACCAGCGCGCAAGGGCACACGCTCACCAGGAGAACCAGCGACATGCGGAGCCAGTGCTTCAAGTTGTTGGCCCTGACTGCTGTAGGAACGACGGCGACGAGGGCTGCTGCCAGCACAACCGCTGCGACAAGGACAGATCCGAGTATAATGTCAGCAGAGAGCCAGCCCCCGCGTCAAGTGCCGCCGGCCGAAGGAAACTCCCTGTGGGAACCTCACCGGGGGTGTAGTACTTGGCGCAGGAGTCAATGATCCTTTGGGTCCTGGACCTGCTGTTCTGGGCCTCCTCCACCAGCTTCGTCATCTTCGCCACGGCTGAGTTCTCGGCCAAGGCAGTGGTTCTTACGGCGACGTAACCTGCGGGAGCGGTGACCAGGGTTAGTTCGTCGAATCCTCAAGAAGAGGTCAACGCGGAGATGGCTCACCGTTGATGTTGAGGGTGCCGGCCCAGACTTGGGACAGGGGATGCTTGGGGACGGGGAAGGACTCCCCCGTCAGGGTGCCCTCATCCACCTCGCTGCGCCCATCAACGACGACACCGTCGATAGGGATCAGCTCCCCGGCCTTGACGGCGAGGATGGTGTTGACCTCGACATCCTTCGCGTTGACCACCTCGCCCGTCTCCGCCAGCACGGCCTTCTGTGGGGCCATGCTCATAAGTGCCGACATCACGACCGTGGCCTGCGGAGCTTGGGCTTAGTCTTCCTTAGAAAAGAAATTAAAAAATGGCCTTCGCGAAGCAGGCCGTTCCGGGGGGAGGTGCGAGTGTTCCGCCCATGGGCGTCCCACGATTTTTTTGACAAGGCCAGCCCCGCCAAGTTGGGAGCTTCCCACGTTTCTACTACTGTGGCCGGGGATTGATGATGGGTCAACGGAGGCCATCAAACCCACATGTTGCGACAAGCCTAATCGACTTGAGCCGCCTGGATCAACCGACAGGGACGGGGTCACTAGTTCTAGGCAGAGCCAACAAAAATCAAGGTCACCACGTAACGGATGTTGCGTCACTGCATATCCTTTCATTTCGTTTCCGCCCCACCTCACTGGGAGAGAGAGAGAGAGAGAAAGACCTTGTAGCTGGCTCTGGACTCCAACCATTCGGCTATGGTGAAGAGGAAGACGATGGTGGCGGCTTCCCAGTAGTCTCTTAGGGCAATAGACCCGCCGACTGTTAAAATCAGCAAAAATAACCACGGAGTTAGTCGCCAGTTGAGGACGAAGCAACCACCTTGCGTGCCATCCCCTACCCATGCGCTCGTTGGGAGGAGACGGTTTTTTGGCTGGGCGGCCAAATACGTTAAAACCCTAGCAACCGTTGAACAGAAAAAAAGAAAAGAAAAAGAAAACGGAGGGCTCATCCCAGTGATCCTCGGAGCTCTTATCAGGTAGAAAACGGATCGTGCAGTTTTGATTCTCGGCAGGTTGATTCCCCAAGAGCTGAGATACCTGCAATCAGCATGAGGATGTTGACGTCGAGCGTGAACCTCCGGATGGCGGCGAAGGCCCGGAGGAGGATCGGGGGGAGGCCGGCCGCCACTGCCGCCACGGCCAGCCATTGAAGAGGACGGTAGACCGGCTTCAGGAACGAAACCATCAGCAACACGCCGCAGGCGACTGTGTAAGGGCTCGGCCAGTGCCGGACTCCCCTGTTCTCGCCGTATGCCCGGACGGTCGCTTCCAGCCTCGCCTCGTTCAGGGCTATCACTGATCAGAGCGAACCAGAACGTGAGTGAGTTCACCTAGGGCAACCATCGCAGGCAGACGAAGAAGAAGAAGAAGGTGCTAATGAATAGAAAGCTGGGTTCGGGATGCATCACCTATCTGGGTCTGAGAAACGAGGGCGCCATCATGGACGACGATGACCGTCCTGGATGTGACGATAACTGTCACGGAGATGACCCCCTCCAGAGACCGCAGGATCTTTTCCACGAGGGGGACCTCGGAGGTGCAGCAGAGTCCCAGAACGTCGAAGTAGCTCTTCTGGTGCTTGGCTGCCCCCCCGTTCCTGCTGCCGTCTCCCTCTTCGGCCATCTGTCTCTGTCCGGAAAGGCGTCTCAGACGAAAAGCAAGCAATAACGAAAGGTCGCGCTACAAAAGGAAGATATCATCCATCCAGAGCAAAAACCTAAAAGAGTCGGAATTAAATGACATGTCCTCTTTATCTGAGCCAAGATTTCCGGGTATCGAGCTGGAAAAACCTTTAAGAGAAGTTGATTATCGGGGAGAAAACAGGAGGTAGAGCATATTCTCTTTGGGTAAATTGTTCACGGAAGAGAGCAGGAAAAGGAAGGGGTCAACGACAGGGAAGCAAGAAGGGTTGATAGACAGTAGAGAAACGCTGAACTCCGTCATCAAGAAACCTTCGGCCGACTGTACATGCAGAGACGCGAGCTCTAGAATGTGTACCTGGTCCTCGGGTATATCCGACTGAGCGGAGAGTATCAGAAGCGTCTCGGTTTATATAGGGAGAGAAATCGTTGGTACCCGTTTTCCTGCTCCGTACCCGGATGGCTAACAGATGCCTCTCTCTCTCTCTCTCTCTCTCTCTCTCTCTCTCTCTCTCTCTCTCTCTCTCTCTCTCTCTCACTCACTCTCGCTCGCAGTCTCTCTCTGTGTCACACTCTCGCTATATCTGTCACTCACTCTGTATCGCTATCTCTTTCTCTCGTTATGTATCTCTCTCTAGCTATCTCTCTCTTTCTTTCTCACTCTCTCTCTCTGCTGCGTGGATGTGGCATCCATATCAGCTCCCACTGAGAGGCCGTGGTTGTCGAAACACCCAGCGTATGGGTGGTTGTAATCCTAGCTCACGGCACTTGTTTTGACTTTTGCCATAAAAATCTTCGTTCGAGGCCATTACCCTCTTTTCTTTTGGCCTTCTGCTATCGTAAACTGCTCTCTTCTTATAACATTGAGCTCCTACGATGCGCTTACCCATCGACGATTCTCTCTCTCTCTCTCTCTCTCTCTCTTTCTCTTTCTCTCTCATGGGCTCCGATTGAACCAATCATATCCGAATGACAACTGGGCTTCAGGGAATTATGCGTTTCCGTAGCATAATTTTACTTGGGCCTCTTATAAGCCCAATAAGAAAACTTAAAATTTTAATATATATATATTAAAATCTGTCGGAGCTTATTCTCAATATTGACGTATAACTTCGGGAGAAGAATATTAATAATTATATTATATAAAATTCAAAGTATGTTTATGAACACGTGGGCCACTTAGATGAAGACACGATACCATGCCGATTATCGAATTGCCGGACCCAAACTTCTCACTGCCGGAGAGAGTTTCTAAACGGTTGTACCGTGGACCCGTTTGTTAAGCGCCGTCTTCCTTCTTTGGCGTCCCCGGGGGCGACTTAATGGAAGCACGGCGCCGCCGCCTGCTCCGTTGCCGCCGGAGCACATAGAAAGCGCCGAGTCAACCCTAGGGTCTTGATAATCCCGCCAGTTTCCTGTTCGTTCTGGCGAGTTGTCGGAAGAAGGAGCCCTCCGGCTCGTCCTGGTGGCGAGGAAAGGAGGGTTCGGGCTTCCCATGGCTTGCTCATCGTGCCTCTGGGTCGCGAGTACATATTCGAATTATACTCTCGCGGAGCAAGGAATGTATTAAGAACAAGGAAAACAACAGCAAACAACAGAAAAAAAGGATTGGCCAGTTCGAGATGGCCGATCTCCACTGGTTCCTTCTGTTTCCTCTTTTTCCGATTCCCTCTCATCTCCGTCTTCCTCTATTTTTATAGCTGTGTGCACCGTCATTTCTGTTTCTCGAACTAGGACGGGGCTTCTTTATCAATTGACAGCCCGGCCCGTACTTATCCTGATTGAACCGTTCGTTAGAACCATTATTGACAGTTAGACCGCGGTTTCTATGACTGCACTTATTCTGAATTATATATCACTTAAGCTTGCACACCCATTTCATCATTTGCCCTTCTCACTTCGATTGAATGGATTATTCGAAATTCATCGGATGAAGATGATCAGCCATCCAGTCAGCGAGTATATATGATTTGATTCATTATTCATCCGAAATAATGGTACATTTTTTTTTAACTTCTTGACAAGAACCGATGGATATGGCTGTGACGAGGAAACTCCATTTCCCTCCTTCTATCTTCTGGATACTGAAATCATTCTGTCGAACCCATTCATCTAGCAATGCTCCCGCTGTGGTATTTTTCCTCTTGAACCCATTCTGTCCCAATAAGTTCTATTTTTTTCTTTTCTTGCAGACCATAACCCATTCATCGAATTAAGTGACTATATGGCTTACAACAATGAGAATGGAGGAGCCATTGATAAGTTGAAAGAGGATGGAATCTCTATATGGCTTTCTCATTGATTGGTTGTCTACAAAACTGATGGTCAATCCCGCTTGCTGATGCCACATTGTATGAGTTACGGGTTGAATTTGATGGAAGTTATGTGGACACAATATACTTATCTGATCTTCCTTGGCCAATTAGAAAGGTTTTTCACTAGAAGCAAAGTAGACTTGACAATAATATAATGGGGATAACGAAACTCAATGCTATAGAGAGAGAAGACAAGGTGCCATGCGATTTACTTCATCATACTTATGTTGGGTTCTTTGCCCATTTATTTTGTGATTAGTAAGTTATCATAATCTGTTGGCAAATCTACATGATGGCTAAGCAAGCATATGAAGTTTTATCCTTGAGGTTAGAGAATCAAAAAAATTTCTTTGAGAACATGATGCAGCCGTATACGCAGAAAGTGAACAATAGACTGAAGCTAGAGACCCAACCACTTTGAAATTGAGCCACAATGAGAAGAATATTCAGAGTACTTAATTAACTTTTGGGCTCAACAAAGGCACGGAAAGTTACTTTAGAAAAGCTAATTTTTCATAAACTTGCTTTATGTCTCCTTTCTTCTAGAAGATGTTTTAAAGGGCCTACCCTTAGAATCTATTTAGGATATATATTGCCAATTTGTTGTAAGTCATTTCACAAATAGTCAGATCTTGCCTTTAGGATTTGGTCAAATCTTTATTTAGTAGTCTCTTTGAGGTAGTTTCAGAGTAAGTCAGAGCGTCTTTCTATGATCTGCTTATGATACTACTTTAGGAACTCCCCACCTCCTTTTAGACTTTGTTCAATAGTGGTATCGGACTCTCGACCTAGGGCCCATTATGGATTCTAGGGTTTCTTCTCCTGTGTCAACATGGTATCAGAGCCTTATATATCCCTCGTCGTCGTCCTCCTCTCTGGCGCGCGCTGCTCTCTCCTCCTCGCCGGCCTCTTCCCTCTCGGGCGGCTCTTCAGCGTCGCCGCTCTTCCCTCTTTCGGAGTCGTCGTCTCTGCCGTCGCTCTCCTTCTCCTTTCGGCGCCACCCTCCTTGCCTCCGCTTCCACCTCCCTCCAGGCCGCCGGCCGCTCGTCCAGGCTGTCATGCCGCCGTCGCTCTCCTCCTCGCCGGTGTCGCCTCCTGGCGCCCTGCATTGCCTCCTGACGCCTCATGCGTCACCTTCCGGCACCCTGCGTCACCTTCCGGTGCCCCGCGCCGCCTCCCGATGCCTTGCGCGTTGACTCTTGGCGCCCCGCACCGCCTCCCGACGCCTCACAACGTCATCTCATCTCAACTGCCTCCAATGCTAGTGCTTCAGCTGGCTGTCACTCTTCTGGCACTCCATCATGGCAGTGCTCATCTCGTAGATGTCTTCACGAAGAGTCTGACCTGCATATCCTACGTCAGTTGTCAGTTCTTCTGTCACTCCATCAGTAGGTTACTCAACGGCACTCCATCATGGCAATACCCATCACAGACGTCTTCACGAAGAGTTTGGCCTACATCTCCTACGACGCCACGTGTACCAAGTTGGGCATATTCTACTTATATGCTCCAACTTGAGGGGAAGTGTTTGATAGTACTATCAAACTCCTGGCCCACTAGGGCCCATTATTTATCTCTCTTTTCTCATCTTTCTTTTTTCTTCTCTTCTATATAATCTCATGTACTCCTCTTCTTCTTTAGAGAAGGATTATGGATTCTAAAGTTTTTTCTCTCGTGTCAATAGGGTTTATATCTATTTACTTGTAAATTCAAGTGCGCCTTTGTGAATTCAAGGGTCCGTTATTGATTTTCTTGATTCAAGGTCATGTCTACTTGTGGATTCAATGATTGAATACTCTAATTCTATAGATTCAAAAGTTAGTTTCTTCTTCAAAGTTTGTGCTTGGTGAATTCAAGCTCGAATCTTATTATCTTCTATGTTACTATTATGTCAGTTGGGTTATCTTAGATGCCATGATTTTTTGATTTTTAGCCCAATTCTATAGTGAAGCTCCGTTCTGCACATAAGTTTAATAATAAATACTGTCTTTTCCTTTGACTAGGCTGACTAGCTTGGACGCTGTTTTCCTCGAGCATGCTCTTTTTGTGCTGCAAGCTTCACCTGTGAGTCACCTTCTGTTCTCCTATCATCTATGTCTTGTTGTCCACGGTTCAAAATGAAGCTCATCTCTTTATTTATGCTTTTCTAGACAGAGGATGCTCATCGACCTAATTTTCATTGGAATCTGTGTTTAGTGTTGAATCTCAGGAGTTTTTTAGCATCGTGTGGCTGACGATATTTTGGTCTCCTCCCTCATTCTGATCAGTATACAATGAAGAAAAGTGCTGGATAGCCTTTTATCTCCTGCACTCTGGCTTTTAATAACCATGCATCTTGATGATGCTCCATTTCTGTGGAGTAAACTGATGAATTTCTTCCCTCCATGAGAACACATTTTCTAGGTTCAATGCTGGTCAGTAGTGATCGACCCATCTCAGTGAAAATATATTTTTTGACCATTGGCAGGCGTCCCTTACCTTGGGCATTCCATCAGGCAAATTTTATCTTCTTCACCACTTGGACTGATCAGCCATGGTCAATAGAACATTATCCAACACTCTTGACTCGGGACGATGGCAATGCCGTCTTCCCAACATTGTGACAAGAAGTCAACTCAGTACATTGACACACTTTTGACATGAAAAACTCACTGTCCTTGAAAGGTCTCCGTGTAGCACTGACCATCTAAAATGTGGTGTGTGGAATTGGAATGGTGTTAGTCTCGGATGGAAGAGTTTCTCTCTGTTGCTCCATAACTGTTGACTGCGGAGAGTAGTAGAGCCCAGCCAAGTTGGAGACGCACTGGGTACCCTCTTTCCACGTTTCTTCCTCAATATTTATCATCAAACCATCCTGATGATCCTGCCGCCTATGTGATTGGGCGATCTTCCTCATCTGTCTTCTCCAATGAAATAATCACCGTGCATCATGAAAAAGGTGTTTACTCATGTGGTAAACGTTGGGGATTGACCTCTGTCTAGCATCAGCTAGAAATTGGAAGCTTCGTCATCTTCCCCTTGCTGGAAGGATATCATGGCATCAACTTTATAATCTGGCTGCCAAATGTATAATGTATTGATACTCAATAAACGAAAACATTCTCACTGCTTCCAGCTGTTTCTGTTTTCATGTTCGCCTTATTTCCGCACCCTCTTCTTTCCCGGAAGATCATGAACTGATGTGCAATTCTCAACTTCTTGAACTCTTGGTTTGGATGTTCCTTTTCTTATTGCTGGTTTTTCTTATTCATCAGCAGTCTTCTCTTCTGACTGCCGCTTTAGGAAAACATCAGCGCTGCGAAAACTTCTGTGAAGCCGTTACAATCTCGTGAAATATGTGGAAAATCGGAAGGAGTTCCTTGAAGCTGTCTCTTCGTCATCTTCCATATCCGGATTCCCATTTGATCCTCCAACATCTTCGACATTTTGAAAGCCTCCTCACATTGGTTTTGGAGCAAGTGGAAATTGTCAAGAATGTTTCACATTTTAGTTCTCCTTGGTTGCACCTGCGTGTGGAGTTGTTGTTGTTGGGATTCGATATACTTACCGAGCAATCGGCATTTATTCACACACATAGATTTACATGTTTATATATGATATGATATGTGTTTCGAGTAACGTACACAGTAAGTTGACCTGGGTTATGGTTGGACGTCCACGCGGCTTCGCCTTGCTAGGTTCAAAGTCCAAACCCTAACCCGAACCCAAACAGCAGAGAGAGAGGACGGAGGAAGAAAGGGCTTCAAAAGGAGAGCCAAGTATTTCCTCCTCGCTCAGCTGGTCTTCTGTCGTGGTGTTCCCCGCGCTTTTGGGACCCATCGCTGCCCACGAAGAATTATAGATGGACGAGGACGACGACGACCTGAGCCACTGCGTGGGCTTCACAGGGTTCTATCCACTGCACCTTGACAGCCCTCCCTTTCTTCCCCTCCCCGTTTTGGGAAGTGGGTCGGCCGAGTTCCCATGGAAAATTCCAGTTTTCTTCCTTTTTTAGACCTTTTTCAAAGCAATGTGAATGGCTCTTGGTTGACGACGGGAGAACGTGGAGTTGTCGATTTCTTGATGCATCTGAAAGGGTCTATTCTGTGGAAGTATGATTTCATTGGTCGGTTATTCAAGACGCATGAACAAGGCGAGCTACATCACGCCGTCGCAGGGGGAGACCCATTGGGCAACCGAGCGCATTGGCCAAAGAGGCAGAAGGCGTGGGCGGCGGCGGCGGCGCCTCTTCCCTTCATGAGCTCACCCACCTTCTCACAATCATGCTCAGCGAGTCACCTTATCTCCAATAGCGGTGTTTTGGCCAGGAAAGCTTGGGGGGACACACGTGGGGAACCCCCCCCCTCCAGGTACTATTCCCTTTCGGACAAGTCGATGTGTGGCCCACAAAGCAGATACGCGGGCGGCGCCGGACTACTTGCAGAAGGGATCAGCCGGATGGGAGAGAGGTTGGCATGGCTCCATCTCTCGTCACAGTGCAGCTGGTCGCCCCCTTGAGCTGTCTGTTTCCTGGGAAGTTTTCCGGGGAAGAAGTTTTTAAATAGAACACGGTTGTAGAAGATTATGGGAGGGCGATAAGGAGATACCGAGATCCAGGAGGGTAAACGATGGCTTGGATCCTCCCGCTCGACATAGAGAAGGTCGTCTTCGTGGCGGCTTGAGCATCGTAGAACCGAGATTACTCGGACAAGAAGGTACATGTCAGCTACTCCATTTCTTTATTTGGCGAATCATCATCTGGGACAGAGGTCGACTCGGACAAGGATGACTAGAGAGAAACGCCAGCGAATTCACGGGCCTCCGATCACTCAAGTTGCTCTGCCCTGGTGCAGGCTTTTCTTACAACGACGTCCCACTTGCCAACGGCTGCTCTAACGGCATCAGCCGGCAGCGGTAGCAGAGGCCGCGCTATAGTCGAGCTCCCTCCGCCGCCGCCGCCGCTGCCGCTCAAGGAAGACCTGTGTTTCATGAGGAAAAAAGCTGTTTTATTTCCAACGGACATCCTTCCTTCCGATTTCGATTAGAAGAGCGAGGATTATCCAAGCGATGCCCGCCGACACTCGCTGAGGCACGGTTGGCCGAGGACCGTGACGTACCCTTGATCCATTGCACGACACAGAAGCTTCACTTTGGTCGGAAAGAGAGCGGCTCTCGACCCAGCGAATGGCCAGATAGATTGACTCACTGCTGACGTCTTGCGCACAGATGGATGCATTCCACTAACAATAATTCCTGGAGGACAGCATTCTCTTCCCCCCACTTTTGTCCTCATTCAACATCCATAGCCGTGAGTTATTGAGAAGGGAGGAGTCTCTAGCTCAACACGGAATAGTCTTAGTTGTATATGACAAAGAAGGAAAGTAGAGAGAGAGAGAGAGAGAGGGGGAGGGAGAGAGAGAGAGAGAGAGAGAGTACGTAAGGTTCCACTTGCGTAAATTGTTTATTTAAACACAATTATACATATTCCCGGTTAGCAGATTTGGAGGCATGAATGCCGTGGTCGACATAGATCGGGGTCACTCATGGGATCCGTTGACGCCGCCTTGGAGGATTTGGCTTTTATATGCATGGATGGGAACAACCTTGTTCGCGTTAGTAGTTGTGCAATCAAAGGCGAGGGAAACTGACCACACGCTCGGCCCGCGTGGATTACTGTGGCTCCACAGAAAGCTGTGCAGCGGAGATCGGCGTGCGAACTATTATCGCCCTTATCGACGTCATCTCCCGTTCCTATGCAGATCGCCGCCAACCTCAACGGCGAGTTGCCTTGGCGTTAGCCCGGCGAGATTCCTGGAGCCGGGCAACTCCGTTGACGGGCTCATCGTTTCCTGTCTGATAGCGTTGCTGCTCCTAACCAGCTTCTCGGACAACACGGTTCAACTTCCAAACAAAGACACTTCAAAGGGTAATTCATGCTACCGGTACGCCCTCAAGCTAACATATCATGACCGCCACTATTCGTGACCACATTGGGAAAAAGCAAGCCACCACCTAGGGGGAAGAGACAATGCCGTCGATTGCTACTCGGTGAAGATCTCCTTGAGCTGGGGCAGGTTGCTGCCGCCGCCGCCGCCGCCGCCGCCGGCCACGCAGCAAAGATCCCCCTCGCACCCGCTCGAGTAGAGGGTGCCGCAGTTGCTCTGGCAGCAGGCTGACACCGGTCGGTTCCGGAAGTCGCGGCAGGAATGATGGGAGTGGCACGTCGCCGTACACACAACGGCCTCGTCGCACGCGGCGTAGCTCCAGCGTCCCGGCTTGTCCACATTGACGTGCACCGCCGGCCCGTCCTCGCGGGAGCAGCAGCTGTGGTGCGGGTTTTCAGCGGCCGTCGTTGCGCAGCAGTCGTCGCGGCGGCCTTCCACGGCACTCATGGAGATGGAATGGCATTCGTTTCTCCCTTCGTCCTCTGAGTGCGCACCAGACTCGTTATGGTCCTGGCCGTGGGGGTGGACATGGTGATGATGATTGTCATCTTGCACATGAGAGTCGTGGTGGCCGTGGTCGTGCTCGTGGAGGTGGTGATGACTGTGGTCGTCAGGATATCCGTGGCTGTGCGTACCATCGCCGGAGCATTTCCCAACAGCTGTTGCCGCCTCTGTCTCACGGTCGGGGAAACGAGAGCAGCAACTCTCTCCAGCCGCCGCGCATGGGTCAGCATGACCATAGCGGAGCCCGGCGTGGTGATGGACGCCATTCCTGCTGGAGTGCATCTTGTGTGAGGAGCCGCAGCATCTGCTTTTCTTTCTCCGGCTGGAGTTCAGCAGGAGCATGCTGTTGAAGATGACCAGGAGGCAGGTGCCGACGTCGGAGAGGATGGCGGCCCACAAGAGCGGGCGTCCCGCAAAGGCCAGTGCGATGATGGCGGCCTTGGTGACCACCGACATGACGATGTTCTGGACGACCTTGCGATGGGTCTTCCTCCCCAGGCGGATGGCGTCGAGGATCTTACGGACATCGTTGGACATGAGGGTGACGTGGCTCGTCTCCATGGCGATGGCGGACCCCGATATCCCCATGGAGATGCCCACGTCCGCTGCAGCCAGCGCGGGGGCGTCGTTCATTCCGTCTCCGACCATCACAATGGAGCCCTCTTTGACCTTGAGGTTCCTCACTATGTTGACCTTGTCCTCCGGCAGGAGCTCAGCGTGGACCATGTCCAGGGCGTCACCCATCTGCGGGCGGATAGCAGGGCGGGACGTTATAGTAGTAGAAAAAAGACATTTTTTATATAATGTATATGAATATCTTACCTGGTTTTGTGCGGACATGGCGGCGGCCTTGCTGTCGCCGGTGAGCATCGCCGTCTTAATGCCCATGCGCTTCAACCCTATAACCGCCTCCGCGGCGCCAGTCCGGCAAGTGTCAGAGAGGCTGAATACTCCGATGGGTACCCCACCGGAGAAGACGTACCCGACCGTCGTCCCTTTCATCTCCATCTCGACCTCCTCCGGAACTGCAGATCCAAAAATCCGTTAGGTTGGGGATTAAAAAAAACAGAATACGAATAGGCCATTTTTCAAAAGGTAGAGATCGTCTTCTTCAACCTGCTGCGCACCCCGCCCGAGCAGCGATTCTCTGGTTGCCAACGTATATCTGATGCCCGTCGATCTCCCCGTAGATCCCTTCTCCGGGATACATGTGGAACTCCTTCACATTCTCAGGTCTCGGCTCGATGGAACTGAAGCGCGCGTAATCGGCGAGCGCAGCTGCCATCGGGTGGCTCGACTTACTCTCGACGCTTGACACCCTGCAAGATCAAACAGGTGAGAAGAACCACTACCCAGGAAGTCGATGCTCTGAGACTTGGATTTCACTGGGACCTCTGTGCTCACTCACCAGTAGAGAAGGGAGTGCACGTCGGGGGATTTCCCGATCGCCCGAAACTCCACCACGGTGAATTCTCCTCTGGTGACTGTTCCCGTCTTGTCGAAGGCGACGACCCTGGTGTTCGCCAGGGCCTCGAGGATGTCCCCGCCCTTGACTAGCACCCCACTCTTAGCGGCCTTCGAGAGGGCGCAGAAGGTGGCCACGGGGGTGGAGAGCACCAGCGCGCAAGGGCATGCGCACACCAGGAGGACCAGCGACATGCGGAGCCAGTGCTTCACGTTGTCGGCCCTGGCTGCTGTGGGAACGACGGCGACGAGGGCTGCTGCCAGCACAACCGCTGTGACAAGGACAGATTCGAGTATAATATAAACAGAAAGCCCCATGTCGAGCGCCGAGCCAAGGTCAAACTCCCTGTGGGATCCTCACCTGGTGTATAGTACTTGGCGCAGGAGTCAATGATCCTTTGGGTCCTGGACTTGCTGTTCTGGGCCTCCTCCACCAACTTCGTCATCTTCGCCACGGCGGAGTTCTCAGCCGAGGCAGTGGTTCTTACGGCGACGTAACCTGCCGGGGGGCGGGGTTAACTCATCGAATTAGAATCCTCAAGAAGTCAACGTGGAGACGGCTCACCGTTGATGTTGAGGGTGCCGGCCCAGACTTGAGACAGGGGATGCTTGGGGACAGGGAAGGACTCCCCCGTCAGGCTGCTCTCGTCCACCTCGCAGCGCCCGTCCAAGACGACGCCATCGATCGGGATCAGCTCCCCAGCCTTGACGGCGAGGAGGGTGTTGACCTCAACATCCTTCGCGTCGACCACCTCGCCCGTCTCCGCCAGCACGGCCTTCTGTGGGGCCATGCTCATCAGCGCTGACATCACGGCCGCCGCCTGCGGACCTTGTTGTTAGTCTTGCTCATGAGGAATTAAAAAAGGGCCTTCCCGGGCAGGTTGTGCCCGGGGCCGGTGCTAATGTTTCGCCCATGGCGATCTCTCAGTTACCAAGGTCAACCCCCCCAAGTTGGGAGCGTCCCCTGTTTCTAATTGTGGCTTGGGGTCGATGACGGATCGACGGAGTCCATCAAAGCCACATGTTCAAGCCCATTCGGCTTGAGCTGCCTAGATCAGGCGACAGCGACGGGGCGACTGACCCCTGGCAGGGCCTCAATAATTAGGATCGCCACGGACGTCGCATCACTGGATACGTCACGTTTTGTCGCCGCCCGCCTGAGAGAGAGAGAGAGAGAGAGAGGGAAGAGGGAGTTTCAGATTGACCTTGTAGCTGGCTCTGGACTCCAACCACTCGGCTATGGTGAAGAGGAAGACGATGGTGGCGGCTTCCCAGTAGTCTCTGAGGGCAATAGACCCGCACACTGTTAAATCCTCATAAAAAACACGAAGTCAGTCCCCAGCTGAGGACGAAGCAGCCGCCATGGGTGATCTCCCCCCCCGGTCTGCCAGTGCGACGGGGAGGAAACCATTTAATGGCTGGTCCGCTGAATACGTTAAAACCCTAGAAACCGTTCGAAGGAAAAAGAGGAGGGAAGGGCTCATGCCCAGGATTCTCAGCTTTTATCAGTGAGGGGACGGATAGTTTCTGTTTTAATTCTTGGCAGTTTGACTTGCCGTGAGATACCTGCGATCAGCATGAGGATGTTGATGTCCAGCGTGAACCTCCGGATGGCAGCGACCGTCCGGAGGACGATTGGGGGGAGGCCGACCACCACGGCTGCCACGGCCAGCCATTGTAGAGGATGGTAGAACGGCTTCAGGAACGAGATTCCCAGCAGCACGCCGCAGGCGACTGTGTAAGGGCTCGGCCAGTGCCGGACTCCCCTGTTCTTGCCGTATGCGCGGACGGTCGCTTCCAGCCTCGCCTCGTTCAATGCTTTCACTGATCAGAACGAACCCGAAGGTGAATGAGTGCTCCTAAGACGATGATTGGAGTGTAGACAAGAAGAAGAAGGAGAACAATAACAAGATGATGATGAATCTCAAGCTGGTTGGGATGTATCACCTATCTGGATCTGAGAAACGAGGGTGTCATCATGGACAACTATGACGGTCCTTGAGCTGACGATAACCGACACGGAGACGACCCCGTCCAGCGACTGCAGGATCTTTTCCACGAGAGGGACCTCGGAGGAGCAGCAGAGTCCCAGAACGTCGAAGTGGCTCTTCTGGTACTTGGGTGCCTCCCCGTTCCTGCCGCCGCCGCCGCCCTCTCCGGCCGTCTGTCTCTGTCCGGAAGGGCGTCTCAGACGAAAAGCAAGCGATTACGAAAGATCGCAGTACAGATTGAAGGTATCGTCCGTCCAGATCAATAACGCCTATAAGAATCGGAATTGGAGACTGTAGACCAGATATACCATGATCTGTCCTCTTTATCCGAGCCATGACTTCCAGGTTTCGAGCAAGTCAAACGCTTGCAAGCAGGAGAATATCGAGAAGAAAACAGAAAGGAAAGGATGTATTATTTGGGAAAATTTTGTTCGGGAAAGAGAGCGGAAAAGGAAGAGAGATCAACGACAGGGAAGGAAGAAGGGGTAGATCGAACCCTTCAGGCATATCTCACGAACGAGAATGTAAAGACGCTGAGCTCGATCATCAAGAACCGTCAGAAGTCTCCACCCGAGACCGTTTCTACACACAGAGATGCGTGTTCTAAAATATCTACCTGTTCCTCGGGTATATCCGACCGAACGGAGGGTATCAGAAGGGGCTCCCGCGCGGAGGAAAAGTGATCCCACCTCCATTCTTCCGGCATCGATAGTGTTCAGGGGTTAGAGAGAGAGAGAGAGAGAGAGAGGCCTGGGAGCTGCGAAAGCGTCTCGGCTTGTGTAGGCAGAGAGCCCGTTAGGACCCGTTAACCTGCTCCGTACCCGGAGCGAACAGCTGTGGGGACCAAGCAACTGGGTACTTTAGAATGGATGGTTTACCCACCACTTCTTCCTTGCAGATGGGGGGTCATATAAGGGAGCACGTCCATCTGGTGCGCCTCTTCCGTTCTACCAAGGGTCACGGCATCAATCGATCAGAACTACTAGAGAAGGAGAGACCTTCCTCTGATTCCTTTGTGTCTGTATTCTTGGTGGTTTTTAAGAAATTCAAGTACAGATCCCAGGCAAATCCTATAGGATTACTGCTCCTAACGGTTGATGACGAGTTCCCTGAAGCATCGGAACATATAAAATTGCATGCTCTAATCAACCCGACAACCCTTCTGAAGAAGACCTGGCCACTATTGAACTTACGGCCAACTTAGTACGTAATGACTCGCCTCTAGGCATATTTAAGTTCCAAGGCTGTATCCAAGGGAGAACAATTATGGTCCTTGTGGATAGCAGCGCCATACACTATCTGTAAGTAGATTACCTATGAACTGAAGCTTCCGATCACATTCACATTGCAATTCTAAGTTGCATGCATCATGTTGGAATTTCAAACTCTCATGGTGATAGAGGACTTTCTTACTCCTCAGTCCAATTAACATCCATCATGAAGATGAATGAACATAAAGAAGATTGAAATAGATCTAGAGAAAAGAATTATATCACTAAAGATTAGCCGTCAATGGGTGATTATTCAAATTAATTCACCACTTGACAAACATGATATCTGATAATTCTTCATTATCATGAGTTAATAATTAGTAAATAATATAGTTTTAGCCTTAACTCATGATAAATAGACTTATATTTATATTAAAGTGTCAAAAATATTTTTTAATTAATTAATGTAAAATTTTGGGTAATGAATTTATATGATTTTTATAGTCTTACTTTTGAGATACATGAAGAAAAAGAATTAAAATTAAAATAAAGAAAAATAAGGGGGATCTGTTGACCAACTAGGCTTACAAGTGAGTTAGAAGCGTAGTTAGGGAGTAGCCACGAGTAGGGGCTCAAGTGATTTGGACCGATAGTAGCATGTCTACACCACTCCCCTTCCACATCACTAGTGACCAATTAGTTGTGGGATAAAAAGTAGTCATACACATGCGAAAAAGGGACTTGCTTTCAAATGTACTATATATTCACCTAAAACTTCAGCGCTATAAATACTACACAATGATCTCCCGAACGCTCAAGATTCTAGTGCATTGTCGACGCATCACCGCCGCGACGTCGGAACTCTATTTTTTTACTTTCAACTTAATTTTTATTTCATTTAGTGATAATTTATATGATTTAAATTTATCAAGATATACTTCATATAATTATGATTCTTTTAGCTTTTATACATCTTAATTTGATTAATTAAATCATCTATAATTACTTACATAGGAATCGCGGGGCAGAACTCTATTTTTGACCAATTCACATTTGCCGGATGCTGACATCATCTTGACGTCTGCACTCTTATTTTCCTTTTTCATGAATTTTAAATATATTTCCTTTTCATTTCTTAATATAAAATTTATATAAAATAATATTATTTGAGGAAAATTTTAAATAATTACCTGATATTATATTACATCTTTGTGATCGACTTGAAAAATTATTATTATTTTTAGAAGTTTTATTGAATTATACTTGATATATTTGTTCAGAAATACTTCTAAATATCTACAAATTCGTATTTTCTAGTTTTATAAATTTTAAATTTACGTGATTTACTATACAACGACTAAGTCACATCAATGTCTCTCTAAATATACTATCTAAGACTTTAAAGTAGAGGAATGAATTTTTAATCAAATTATATCAACTTGTGCTAATAGTCAATGACTAGACAACATCTTCTCAACATATTTAAGTCTAGTTTTCTAAAATATTTAAGATGATCACACAGATTCTTTTGAAGAGAAATTGATCATGCAATCATCCTAGGGCTGAATTCTAACCCAATTAACATTTGTTTATTTTAGTATCAATACCTTTACATTCACAATACAAAAATATTAAAATACATTCGAGATATGTGCTCTATCAACATCATTAGAAATTCTACCAACCTATATTTTTATCTAAACTTGCTTGTGAAGAAGACAAATAGCTAGTGGCAATTTTATGTAGATTACTGATATGGTCTAATTGCTTTAATTTAAATCATGTAAATTAAAAAATTATAAAACTAGAAAATACTAGTTTTATAATTTATAAATTATTTTTATAAAAATAGATTAATTTTAAATCATGATGAGCTCCAAAAATAGTGAGAAAGATCAGAAAAAAAATATTTTTAAAATGAGAGAAAAATAAAAAAATTAGATGTTGACATCATGCATATGTTATCACCTTTTAGGAAAAAATAGAGTTCTGTCTAGATATTATTACGAAAATGATTTCAAAAGGTTCAATTAATAAAATCAAGATTTAACTGCCAAATGAATTGTAATAGATTAAAGATAAGTTTCAAAACTTAAATTAAAAAATATTATTAATTGAATAATTAAATGAGTTTAAATAATGAAAACAAAGTTATTGTGTCACAACGGCTATAACCAGAATTTTAGATGTTTGAAAGGTCTTTGAGTAGTGTCTATGACCTTGAGGGCTCTCCTTAGACATGCACAATGTGAGTGCTCTTTGAATTTCTATGTGAAGTCCAAAGAGTGAAGTTTAGGTGGTGGTGAAGTAAATCTTTGGCAGCTGTCACTTGATGGAGTAGAGGTTGTTGATGATGGATCTTTAGCAGTTATCATCCAATGAAGTGGTGATTGCTGTATGTGGCACTTATGGAGTTTTTTCCTCAAGTCAATGTTGTAAGAAGAGACTTGATCGCAAAGGGAACACTTTGAAGCCATGACAAGTCTCTTTTTAGATCCCTGTGTTCTTGATGATGGCTTGCTCATCAAGCAACAAGAGATGAGATTTCCTCTTAAAGTTTGTATTTTTTCTATCCAAAATCCCTAGTCATATGCCACCGAAATCCTTATTTATTGTTGATGAAGATTCCATCAACAATTAGCCATTTCCCTCACTCTTTTCGTTGATTATTTCCTTACAGAAAAACCATGGAGTCAAATAG